TCCTTGTCTGTCTCCCTTTTTATATAGATTGAGTGGCTTATCCTGAAGGAATTCACAAGAAAGTCCACTGGAGCTTCCTCCTGGTGCTCCAGCAAAGTTTTGGGTGTTCTTAACATGATTACTGTCACCATTACCATCACCATCACTATCGCTGTCTTCATTTTCGTCATCAGTTATAAGCATAAAGTACGTATTTGTATAATACTTTACAAAAGTCTCTCCCAGGACCCTTCCTCTCTTCTTTGAAACAGTGTCTAACATATTCCAAGTCAGCTCTCAATTCATTATGTCTTGGAGAGCATGGCCTTAAGCTGATCCTCCTGTCACAGTCTCCAAAGTGGCTTCATTCCAGGCACTATCACCACACCAAGCTTTGCTCTATTTCATTTTAACTTTTAAAAACCAAACATTGCTGTAAAGCATCATTCTTCTTTTACTGACGAGGAAAGTAAGGCTCATGGGAGTGAGATGTGAGTATGGCCTATGACTAGCTCTTGCTGTCTCAAACCCAGGCAGGTGACCTGAGCGCCTCTCCTTTTCCACTGTGCTGCTGTGGTTGTTGGGTTCCCAGAGAAAAATGCCTTCCCAGCAAACAGCAGTGACCTTACAGTGGCTCTCAATTAGAGGCCAGAGAGTAGGAGCACACTTGTCTGTGGCATGACACGGCACAAGGCTACATGATGTTTTAAATGGGACTTCTGGGGAGCACCACATACAGGAGGGAAATTGTTGCTGAGTCAAGATTCTTTTGTGACAGTTTGGGGCCATTCTGCTTCGGTTCTGACATGATGCATGCTCCAAAGGGAGCAGAAGCTGATCTCCGTGATTGCACAGCTTATTTATATCCCTATTTATAGCAGTGTGCACTCAGGGGGATGTTTCTTAATAAGAGACTCAGAAACAGCACTTTCACTAAACATGAACAGCAGAAGGCCATTTTGCTCACAGTAGACTGGTGCTTTAAGTAAGTAGCCTCAACCTCCTCCTGCGATACTAAAAAGCTTCTACTTTCTAGAGATGCTGGGTTAATGTATCCGATCACTAGCTCATGCTACATCCCAATCTCAGCAGATGTGAGACATTATCAGAAGAAAATGCTGGGGTCACCGACTGCTGCCTTCACCAGTAGACCAGACACATCAATAGCAGATACTAACTGCTGCTGTTTACTTGGTGTTACCAGCGGCCCCACATGATGTGATCAATGCTCTTTTCTTAACTGGTCTTGGGTGATAACTATTATCAATATTCTCTTTTCACAGATAACAGAGACATGACGACAGAGGTTAAATAACTTGCCCAATGTCAGGAAGTTCTGAGGAGCTGGATGGAGACCATGGCCTTTCACCATCATTGCCCCAGGCCTGACTCAGTGCCTAGTACTTAGAAGGGCTTTTCTACAAGTTTTTAATCAACCAAACCCTATAAGTTTCAAATACTTCACCTGCTGCCTTCACCTCAGTTTCTTTGGTTGCTCTTTATTTTTCAAGACAGGATTTATGGAGCCCAACTTGTCCTGAAACTTTCAGTCCTCCTATCTCAGCCTCCCCCAGGGGTAGGATGACAGGAATGTACGACCATGAATAACTCTAGGAGTTGTTTTAACACAAAACTCTTTGGGAGGCTGAGTTTCACTACATAGCTCTGGCCTGCAACTCCGTATGTAGATCAGGTTGGCCTCAAATTAGAGTTCTGACTGGCTCAGCCTCGTGAGAGTCCATTACAGAGTGGATACAGCAATTTGACTGAAAGCTCCTGGAGCTGTGAAGCCCTCCCTCCCTCCCTCCCTTCCTCCCTCCTTCCTTTCTTCCTTCGAAGAGGCAGAGTGGGGGAGGCTCTGTCTCTGAGCACCATTTGCAGCAGTACCTGTGAGATCACCTGCCCCATAGCATAGTGACAGTGCAAACGAGGATCTCCCATAGAGTTCCAGGTCTCCCAGGGTCTAAGAAGTTCCCTGCAGGGACTTCTCCAGTTCTAAAAAAAAAACGCCCCTTTCTTAAATGTCAGGTCTGAGCACCCCCACTCACTTTGCAAGAAGCCCAAATCTCCCAGGAAAAAAAAAAGTGCCTGTGGCTGGCTTCTGGTGGGAAACAGCCTGGTGCTCTTAGCCTGTCCCTGATGCTACCACCCAAGGGAAGCGCTGCTACCCCTTCCTCCCTAGTGATTACTCGGTGACATCCATGGTCAACTCTGAAAAGCTCTCCCAGACCTAATAAAAAGTGTCCCCATTGCCCCCTGTCTCCTTATCAGAAGGTGCCACTAGGCTTTGGGGCACCTATAGCAATCTCACTGTTAGCTCTTTGTGCATTGTCTCCCTAGGATGTGATCCAGAGTGGAGCTCATGACCTCTTGTCACCTTTGTTCCCCAGGTGCTAGCATTGTGCCAGGCATGCAGAAGACACAGGAAGTACTGGTTAGATTGATGGAAGGATAAGCATTGATGTCATTTTGTGGTGCTGGGCCCCTGAGTTATAGCTACAGCCTTTGGTGTTTTGGTACAAGGTATTGTTATACACATAGTCTTGACCTATGTAGCATACGCTGGGCCCAACCTTATGACATTTCTGCTTCTACTTCCCAAGTTCTATGACTGTAGGCATGCAACACCATATGCCCAACAGGATAGCCTCATTTTCTGAAGTAAACATATGTATGAGAAATATTGGAAGCTAAAATGTTGTGAAATCAAACACCCTCACTGTCAACCTTCTCTTTTTACCAGCCAACATGCTGCCTGTTTCTACCCCTGCATAGCAGACGGAATTGGCCAAAGCAAAGAAGGCCTTCCTGTAGGTGTCACTGACCCGGAAAACTTAAGAGCCATGGAGTAGAGGAGTAGAGGTCACACTGATTTTCGGTCAGGATGACCTATCACTTTAGGGGAAGAAATGGGATGGGAGAAGGACTATGGAAAGCACAGGAATGGTTTGCCATGTCTTCTGCCTGGATCCCAGGCAGTGGGAGGAGGTAGGTGGTGTGGCGTGTGTGTGTGTGTGTGTGTGTGTGTGTGTGTGTGTGTGTGTGTGTGTGT